GCCAGGCATGTGCCACATTCCCTCACATTTCTTAAATAAGAAATGTTTGCCAGGTATGGTGGTGCATACCAGTAATCCCAACTACTGGTACTTGGGAGGGTGAAGTGGGAGGACAGCAAGTTCAAGGTCAGCCAGAGCAATTTGCAAGGCCTTGTCTCAAAATAAAAAATTAGAGGAGTTGGGGATTTGGCTCAGTGGTTCTGCCACCTGCCTTGCAAGTACAAGGGCCAGAGTTTGATCCCTGGTACCCCCAAAATAAATAAATAAATAAATAAATAAATAAATAAATAAATAAATAAATAAATAAATAAGGGAATAAAAAATTATGATGGGAATGTAGCTTAGTAGTAGAGCACCTTGGGTCTGATTTCTAGTACCACAAAAAAGAAAAAAAGAAATTTCTTGGGCTAAGCGTGTGACTCTGTAGCAGATCCTTGGCCTGGCATGCATGTCAATATGGGTTTAATCTCTAGCACTGAAAAAAAATTCTTACAAACTCCTCCTAGATGCTGAGAGGAATAATATGGACGTCTGTGAATGAAACTAAATATATGTCCAATACATTCCAAGGAGTATTTTATGTTACAGAATTACCAAAGTATGAAGAAACAAGTTAAAGCCCTGAAATTACCTTCATGGGTCCTCATGATTTTTTTCCCCCTTTGAGACAGGTTTTTACTATTCCCAGGCTAGACTCAAAGTCCTAGACCCAAGAGATCCTCCTATTTGGGCTTAAGGAACATACCACCATCCCCAGGTTCATAGGGTCTTCATTTGCACTGAAGTAGAAGGCCAGGGGGACAGCCATCTAGCTGGGGACCCCAGGGCTGAAATGTCAATAACTGATGGAATACAGATCAGGCACACACCAGCCCCTCAGAGCAATCTCCTTCAAGCATCCCCCATGGCTTCCACTGTCTTCTGAGGAAAATCAGTGCTACAAGTCTGATTTAAGAAGCCTCACAGAGCCTTGGCCTGCCTGCCACCAGCTCCTCTCCATAAGCATACCCAGCTCAGTCATGCCACAGGACCTTTGCATTTGCCATCCTCTTTGCTTAGACTAGCTGTCCTTCAGATCTACAAGTTGGTTTAAGAAATATGCCAATCCATTGTGATACACTGAGAAAGCTTAAGGCTTCTTCAGAGCTACAGGCAACATATCAGTTGTATCACAAAAGTTAGGCAAAAGGAGGGACTTTGAGGTCACATGTAGTTCTGACAGTCTTGGTATCAGAACACAAAAGAACCGAGGGCATAGCTGCCACCGAGGACTCAGCAAAAACAAAAAAAAAATTTTTTTTTTTGTCCTGGGGATTGAACTAAAGACATTGCGCTTGAGAGGCAGGTGTGGTGCCACTGAGCTAAATCCCCAGCCTGGTCAGCAACCATTTTTGAGAGCCTGGCACCTTAGGAAAAGATCTGAATTTATATTTTATTTTTTTCTGGTACCAGGGATCAAACTCAGGACCTTGCACTTACGAAGCAGGTGGTGGCACCACTGAGCTAAATCCCCGGCCCTCAGATCTGAATTTAGAATAGCCTCATTGGTTGGAAACAAACAAAATAAGGGCCAATACTAATGCCCAGAAAAATACTGGTACACATCAGGTTAACCAGGCTCTAACAACACCCTGGAGTATATCTGTTGCCCATGGCACCTGGAACAGTAGAGGAGGGTGAGTTTATTCTTGCCCAGGAAACTAAGATAGGTTGTGCAGGGAGCTGATTCTTCAGTGTGGAGAGGTCCTGAGACAAAGGCAGAGGTGGGAAGGGAAGAAATGTTTTACTCTAGTGGACAGTATAATTTGGCTTGCTCAATGAGTGCCCTCAGGCATAGAACCAATGGTTCTGGGAAGTGTATGTTTGTGTGCACACGTGTGCATGCATATGCCTGTGCATGCAGGGAAGCACAATGCCCAGAGCCAGAGAAACTTCTCTGGGGCCGACATAATGGGCAGACAGGATGAGGAGGCTCATAAGTCACAAATCTTATACAGAAGTAGTACAAGGCAAAGGGCTGGCAGATGCTGCATGGTTTAGTTAGATGGGAAAGTACTAGAAACTATTTGGATATGAGGAAGAGGGAACATGTAGAGTTGCCAAAAGACATGAAGAGGTAGCTCAACCAGGGCATGGTGGCATACACCTGTAACCAAAGCACTGTGGGAGGCTAAGGAAGAAGGACTGCAAGGTTAAGCCGAGTCATGGAAGTAACGTAGCAAGACTCTGTCTCAAAACAAAATTTTTTTGGGGGGTACCCGGGATCGAACTTGGGTCCTTGTGCTTGCAAGGCAGGCGGCGGAGCTGCTGAGCTAAATCCCTGGCCCCCCAAATGTCTGGCATATCTGGTGCCAGATGTGGTGGTGCATACCTGTAATCCTAGCAAGTGGGAGGCCAAGGCAGGAGGACTGCTGCAAGTTTAAGACCAGCCTGGGGTATATAGCAAGTTCAAGGCCAGCCTGAACTACATAGTAAAACCTTGTTTCAAAAAAATAAATAAATAAAAAAGGGCTGGGAATGTAGCTCAGTGCAAAGGTCCTGGGTTCAATCCCTAGCAACTCTCTTACCAACACACAAACACACACAGACACACACACATCTTAAATAAACACCAGGTCAGGGAGAGAAGTCTTCTGGCTTCCTAGCTGGGGCCCCAAGCAGGTGGGAGATGCTTTCAGTCCAAGTTTCTGTGAAACACCAAGAAGAGGAATGGTGGCCCACTCCTGGCAGGGACCCAGTCTCTCTATCTCTTGGCTCCCTCTACTGGCAGCTTTTTTTTTTTTTTGGTACCAGGGATCAAACTCAGGACCTTGTGATTTCGAGGCAGGCAGCAGCACCACAAAGCTAACCCCCTGGCCCCCTCTCTGGCAGTTTTAAGTCCTGAGAACAAAGTGAAATTGCTTTAGAATGAATGGTTTCAAAATTTGGGGCAGGCATGTGGAGAACCTCTTCATAACCACAGCACCCTGAGACACTTGCGCTCCTGGCCCATCCTCAGACAGCCACTTGGTTCTCTCTGGCCTCGCCTTGCTAGAGCCCAGAATTTGTCTCAAAGTTGCTTTCCAGCTAAGTCTTGGCCAGTTTTCAGGGACCCATAAACCCTGGGCCACCTGTACCACCAAAGCCAGGAAGAAAGACCCGTTTCAAGGAGCTCTCCCAGTTTGTAATCCTTGCACCACCCCCAGATCAACAAACCTCTCTAAAACCAGGCGGTTGACAGTCTCATTGGCCACTGGCGTCAGGTTCAAGGTCTCCTGTAACATCGTTAGCTTCTTTTTCAGGCTCTTGGGGAGGGAAAGTGAGGAGTGAGAAAGGCTGAGTGCAGACATACTATAGAGGACAAGCAACATTTGGGAAGTGCACTGGGAGCAGAGCAAGCCCTGAACCTCATCACAGGCTGCAGAACCTCTCTGGGAGAGCCTTTCCTCTGGTGACCAAGGACTCTGGGAGGTAGGTACAGAACACATTGTGAGGAAAGGCACAGGCTGTAGACTAGACCAGGGTCAAGGTGCACACCCTGGCCTTCCCCTTGCCCCAGGAGAATTTTGGGAGCCCAGAACCACCACCACAGACCAGTACATCAATTCTCAGGAAGAAACAACCAAGCCCTACTCTTTTTTCTTTTCTTTTTTTTTTTGAGACAGGGCCTCACCATGTTGTTCAGACTGGCCTTGAACTTACTTTGTAGCTCAGGTTGGCCTCATACTAATGCCAATCCTCCTGCCTCAGCCTCCCAAATGCTGGGATTACAGGCATGCACCACTACACCCAGCTATCCAAGCTCTACTCTTAGAGGCATATAAACCACCCTTTTTTCGCATCAAACCAGGGACATCTCTCACCGTGATTTCCTTGTCAGCACTCTGCAAGTCCTTCTGAGCTGACTTTAGCTCCAGCTTGGTCTGATCCAATTCAGAGCAGACTGTTTGCAACTACAAGAAAGTATAGGGAGAGCTAGGTGTGGTAATACACGCCTGTAATCCCAGCAACTGGGAGGCTGAGACAAGAGGACTGCTGGGGTTCAAGGACAGCCTGGGCTACATAGTGAGTTCAAGATCAGCCTAAAGTACACAGTGAGATTCTGTCTCAAACAAAACAAACCACAGAAAAAAAGTATAGGGATTAAAGGACAAGCCAAATAGTGGCCAAATGCTTTTCCCTCTGCCTGCTGGTACCTAGTTCATGGTCAGGATAACTTAGTATTCAGAAGAAACTAGGGATTTGAGGGAGACCCCAGCCATCAGGCGCTAGGTTTCAATCTGGCAACACATGTGTGGGGCTGTCTGGGAGTAAAGATGCTCTCTGGACACTGTACCTTGTAGCTACATCATCTCAAAAGTGAAAACAGCTGGCCCAGGAGCAACATTCTGAGCCTAGTATTAGGCCTCTGAGCTGTATATTTGGAGCCTGTGCTCTCCAGTCAGCTGAGAGGTACCAGGAGCCAGGAAGGGAAGAAAGGAGCATGAGTGTATACCACTGGGGGGATATTTCCATGATCTGCTGCCTAAAGAGGACAAGCCACATGGTAAGAGACAATGCCCCGTAAGGACCAAAATAACCAGTTCCTGTTAAGCTACCCACCAGCCCCATGGAGCCCCCTGGCCTAGCTCAGAAGAAGTGGGTGAACATGACAAAAGGGCCACTTTTTGTTCCTTGCACAGGTACCTTGTTTTTGGAGAGGACTAAGTCTTTCCGCAGCTTGTCAGCCAGCTCCCCTGAGGCCTTCCGTACCTCTTTCAGACTCTCATACTCTCTGCAAAGTAGCCATAAAAAAAGATGCCAAAACATGACATCTGACAGGCAGACCCAGCCACAACACCAATCTAACACAAGGCCTCATCAACTTCTCAGCTCAGCCTGGTTCCCCTTTTCATACTTGAGCCCAATAGGGTCCAGGTGGCACTGTGGAGGGGGCCTGGAGACACAGATCCCCACCTGGCCTGCAGACACGGGTGACTTGACAGTAAGTCAAGTACAGGGTTACAGGAAGCTCTGGCCTCACTAGACGGCCCCCTGCACCAGCTGGTCCCTACAGGAGGCACTTTGTACACCTTCTGCTTATCAGCAAAGTGGCTTCTTTCCTACTATCCTCACAACACCATAGTGAAGAATATGAGCAGTTTCTGATCTAAGTTAGGCAAGGTCAGTAATAGTGCTAATGGGAACAACCTAGATGTCCACAAAGGGGCTTACAGCTTGGAGAGCTATGTCAACTCCATAGAAACAATATTTACAATTCACTGCAATTCTTTTTTTGAGATAGGGTCTTACTATGTAATTCACGCTAGCCTTGAACTCATTGTAGCCCTGGAATTTGCAGTGATCCTCCTGTCTTAGCTTCTTGAGTGCTGGGATTATAGGCCTGTGTCACCATGCCCAGATTCACTACAATTCTTGCAGCAGTCCTATGAGGCATGCACATTACTAGTTCCACGCAGAAAAGTGAGAGTCAGAGGCCGAGAAACTGGCTTCAGGTCAGACAGCTGGTAAGAGGCAGAGGCAGAGTTCAAGCAAAGAGAGCAGTCACAGAGCATGCCCCTTGACCCCATCTGTTTTACAAAAGTAGGCAGCAGAAGCATAGCTATAGTCTCATGGCCTAGCTCCTGGGCTTGCTGAGGGGGCCCAGAATACGTACTTCTTGAGAGATATACAGTACACAGCCAGCTGTTCCACTGCTGACTGTCCCACACCCATGTCTCGAATCATTTCCTCCACCTCAGGCCGCTGGCTCTGGAGTAGGAGCTCAATCCTGAAAAACATATCCGGCCCACAGAATTTAAAATCTGGAGGCTGATGGTTAGTCTGCTTTCCTTTGCTGCCGTTGCTATAGCAACAGCCTGAGCTGCTAGGATGCTTTAGCAGGTGGGTGTGCCCAAGGAAAGGTTCCACAGCAGAGCTGAGCACAGCTCCAGGATGCTGCTGAGGAAGAGGTGCTGACAAAGGACCTCAAGGTCAGGGATTTCCTGTAGAGAGGTTCCTGGAGGGAAAGATCTGCCAGGACAGATCTGGGTATAGGCAATGGGGGAGGAAGGAGTGTGGCAACCCCTCTTCCCCATGGAAAATAGAGGGATCTACACAAGTAAACCTAGGAGACTTTGCCCATGCGTTGCTGGTCTGAGCTTTCCATTCTCTGGTGCAGTACTGAGAGCCATCCCACCTGGGGGCCACCAGTGGGAAGGCACAGTACAGCTGCCAGCTCCACCCTTACCGTTCCATGGTCTTAATCTTGTTTCTAAGTCGGCGGGCCTCCTCCTGTGCTTGTTTAGTGTCATCCTGCTGCTGCTCTAAGTATTTCATCTGCTTCTGAGGAGCAAACACACCCACATACATTGCTTGGAAGTTCCCAGGAGCTATGGCTGAAGTCAGTGGGAATACGTTGCTACCTGTACTGTTGCACTCTCTTTTGAAAATGCTGTTAACTGTATATCTCCAAATCCCAAGATAATATATGGGCCCTACTCTTGTACCTGCTTTTTCTTCTAAGAGGCCATAAGCTAGTTGCTGATTCATGGTTCCTAGTTTCTTCCTCGGAGATAGGCACAGTTCACTCCCAGGACTACCGTGGACTGCCTAGATTCTGTGGTCTGGGCTTCATGGTACATGTTGTACAGGTAGCTGAAGAAGTCCAGAGGACAAACCTAGGCCTCACCATCAACAATCCAGACCCATGGATAGGTGCCAATATGAGCCAGAAACAGCTAGCCAGGCTGTCCTCAGCATGAGGCCACTCCATCTCTGACTGAGAATGTCATTAGGGACTTCTGCTCTGCAGCCAGGTGCAAGTTGGTTCTCTCCCACTGGCCAGCCCATGTGATCCAGCCCAGCCTCCAAGCAGGAACAGAGAATGAATATCCTGGGGCCTTTGTTCACAAAGATGGCTCCTTTTCCCTTTCAAATGGCATCCAGCAAGGACTGCTCCTGTCTACAAGGCCAGAATATTAATTGTGGGTTCAGATCAATCACCTCATGCCCCTTAGAGAGCAAGAGGCTCACCAAGCGATTTGGGTCTAGGCTGCTTGCTCTACAGGCTTTGATCTGCCTGGTCAGCTCAGCACAGGCAACTTCAAAGGCCCTTGCTCTTCCCTGGGATTCTGTTTGATCCCGCTCCAGAGAGCAGCCTAGACTGGAGTGCTAATGAAAGGTTCTTCAGACTGACATCACCAGTGGAGTATGAGCCACTTTTGGAAACACAGCCTAGCCTCACTGAGGTCTTAACTGAACATCCCACCTGAAGTGTTGGGAAGGCCACACTTCTCCAAGCACAGCCAGTATGACTTTTTCTTGTAGGCCAGAGGGGCACAGGATAGGAGGGCATGGGGAAGAAGCTATTTGCTTCCACTTCACAACTGCACAAACAAAAGCACTGACTGAGGCAGAACCAGAAGACAAGCTCAGAATGGTGAGCCCAGAACTGAGACTCTACTTCCCCACCAACTCTATGCCTGCAAAAGAGGGGGACCTACTTTGAATGTGGAGCAGAGCATCTCAGCCTTGTCTAAGGCATCCTGCAGAGATTCCACAGTAGCATTGCGTTCTTCCAGCGTGTCACGCAGAGTGTCGATGATAACCTGGCTATCCCGTTTCTCCTTCTCTGGAGCAGGGTGGTTAGAAGAAAGATTAGGTTCATCTGCCCATCAGCATGAAAACCTGGGCACCCGAGTTCCAGCTCATCATGCCTGAGCCAGGTAAGGATTAGGCTCTGGCTGCAAAGTTGGGTGGCCTACTTCTCCCTCTGGCATACACCAGCTCAGGGATCTAAAAAGCCAGTGCCTCTTTTTGCTGCTTAAACTACCAGGGATTTTGCCTCCCTTGATTAGTCCAGAACTCTAGCAGGTTCCTATCAAAATCAGTAGCTGGGCTGGGGATTTAGCTCAGTGGTGCTGCTGCCTGCCTTACAAGCACAAGATCCTGAGTTTGATCTCTGGTACCAAAAAAAAAAAAAAAAAAAAAAAAAAAAAAAAAAAAAAAAAAAAAAAAAAAAAAAAAAAAAAAAAAAAAAAAAAAAAAAAAAAAAAATCAGCAGATGAATCTTCTCCTGCAGATACTTTTTCTATCCAATGGCCTCCTCTCGACCTGGGTCCTGGCCCAAAAACCCCACACACAGAGAACAGGCTTACCTGGTCAAGGCAGAAAGCATCAGTCATTATCCTCTCCTCTCCTTTTCTGGCAGTCACAAGAGCTACCAGAACTCTTGGACATACAAAGTAGGGACAGCCCTTGGCTCTACCAGAAAGTTAGAGGCCTTCCTCCTGGGGCCCTTTCCCCCAGCACCCAAGCAAGGGGCTCCTATGAGCCCTGTGTCTCTTGCTAACTCACCTTTCTGGGAAAGCTGGGCTTTGATATTGTCCAGTTCATTCTGCAAGACAATACCCACAGTAAGTGACAGAAATGTATCACAACTGCCTCCACATGGCCTCCTGTAGGCTGCAAGGAGCTCCAGGAGGGCCAATAGGATTGTAGGTCTAGGGAAGAATGCAGCCTAAAATACCTTAGGGCCATGCTAAACTGACAGTGAAGACACAAGCATCACCTTATCTTTATATGCCTTCTTAAATATGTAGGTAAAGCCAGGTGTTGTTGTGGTATTACACACTTGTAATTCTAGCACTCTGGGAAGCTGAGGCAGTAAGATTGCAAGTTGGGGCCCTGGACAACTTAGTAACTATTTTGAAACAAACAAAGTGGGATAGTGCATGGGGATGTAGCTCAATGCAGGGGCCCTGGGTTCAATCCCCAGTACCATAAAATAAATAATATAGACATAGATAAGATGGAAGAAACTAATCTCAGCAGCAAGGTCCTGGGACAGGGAAAGGGATAGAACAGGGAAAAGGGAAGTGAAGCTGGGTCCATGAATTAGTCCTGACAGCAGAGGTTTCCGTTGCCTCTCTGGCCCTGTACTAGCCTCACCCTCTCTGAGCATCAGCAGTGCTCACTAGGGACACATAATAAGGATGACTGAGGGCCTTGGACCACCCTGCTTGATTCACAGTGTACCTCTCTCTGAGCTCTAATTTGGCAATGTGTAACACAAATGTTCCAGGCCCAGAATAAAATTAGGATTGTAAGCAGGGCAGCGATGCAGCCTTGGATGAAACTCCACATGTGTTAGGTTCTGACCAGTCTGGTGTGAGGGGCCAATGAGCCCCTTAGAGCCCTTGAATTTGTTCTAGTCACTGCCACACTACTGAGAGTCTAGAGCAGAAGTGAATGAATCCAGTTCCATGTGGAAGTCCAGAGAACTGAACACCTCTGGGCAAGAGGTGCCTACTCCATGACTAGGAAAACCAAGGTTTTACAGAAGTGAAACACTTGGTCAAGGTTCCACAGTGGTAACTGGACAGAACCCAGGCAAACCTTCTTCTGGATCCTTCCAAGCTCAACATAAGACTCAGAATTTGATATGTGATCCAAAGTATGACCCAGTGGGTGGGTAAGCCCCTTGCTGTTAAACTCCCTAGCACTCTAGAGGCAGAGGCTTCTGGAGCTGAGCTGGTCAGTACAGGCTGAACAGCTGGCAGTGGAAGTCTTGGAGATGCCAGATCTGTCTGAGAGCACATACCAGCCCAAGTCTGCTGCACCACCTCACATAGCCCCTGGTCCCTTCCATACCCCAGCAGGGTGTCTTCCAGGCTCCTGTCCCAAACATCTCATGATGTTGCCTCCCTGTCTTATGGACCTGGTTTCAAAAGAAATGAAGCTGTCTTTGTTGCCTTCATCATAGGGAGAACATCACTTAAAAATTGGGAATAGTTACCAGGACAAAAACATGCTGGCTCAAAAACAAAATACTGAAGCAGTGAGATTGTAAGGACATCAGGACACTTGGGGCCATGGCCAAATAAACTCTGATCTGATAGATGCCCAACAAATTAGCTCTCTTAGTCCAGGGATCACCTTTAAACCCCAGTCCAACTTCCTCAAGAGCTTTCTGCCAATTCAGCCCTCTCATTAAAAAAAAGCAGCTAATTTTAGATTTGGAGGGGAAACAGTAGATTTACAGAAAGGAACCTACTCATCCCAGGAGTGTGTTTCCCCCTCAGCTACAAATCTTGATTGCAAGGGATTTGTCCTCTATTACTGGTCTGAGGAAGACTCAGGCATCTGAATATATTCCAAGTTACCCAGGTAATTCAGATGCATTGCCAGTTAGGGAATAGTGAGTTCATGCATCTTTACTCCCTGGCGAGTAAAAGAATTTTCTAATCTGTCACTGACTGTCCAGCAGCAAAATGTACTGAGCAGGAAAGCTATAGATTCTTTATTATAAGGGGACCTTGGAGAGTCACTCTGTCCTTTGGTCAGAATTGCTCTGAAATCCTAAGGGCAGGTCTCACAGTCAAGTGGTCCACTTTCCTCTTCAGTGTATTTCTTGGATGACTGCATCTCATTTTCACTTGTTCTCCACTCTCCTTCACCCTGCCCTGCAATCTCTCTCTCTCTCTCTCTCTCTCTTTTTTTTTTGTACTGGGGATCGAACTCAGGACATTGTGCTTACAAGGCAGGCAGCAGAACCACTGAACTAAATCCCCAGCCCCTGCCCAGCAGTCTCTACCAAGTCCTCCCTCCATAACCCCATCTCCACGCTCCAGACCTCTCCCTGTGTAGAAGTGGAAAGTGAAAAAAAACAACAAAAACAAAAACAGAAGTGGAAAGTGAGTCCCCAGAGGCTTTAAGAGTTCAGCAGAACAAGATTAATTCTAAGTACCTTTAAGAATTCCGCATCCAAGGAAGTCTCCTCCTCCTGGGCCAGGTCAAAGAAGAGTTTATTGATAATAGTTCTTTTACCAACCTGGACAGGAGAACAAGATTAAAGTATGACTGCTTAGAAAGGTCGAGGGCAAGGAGGAAGGGTGTACAAGGTCTGACTGCCTGCGAACATGCATGGTAGGTCTGTTCTTAGGTCTAACTTTTCAAAGTATATCCTTTGGAGTCAGAAGTCCTCTTCATCCCTGCAAATTCCCCAAGCTGGAACTGCTGGTTTGGTGGTTGCTGAAGTCATGCTGCTGCAGATAAATGTCATATGTGCGAAAAAAATGCTTCCATTACAGGTATTGGGGCATTTTCTAGGCATGAATAGAGGCCAGATCTACCCCCATAGAGACTAGTCCAGGCAACAAGTCTACCTCTGGTGTAAGCAGACATCCTAAGCAAATTAAGGGCACACATGAGACTCAAACTGTCTCAAACAAGGAAGGCAAAAAGGGTCAGAGGTACTGCTCAGTTTCAGACATCTTTCCACATTCACACTTTTTGACAAGGAAGAGATACCCAAATGAGGTGGGGCACTCAATACCCTTACCTGAATTCGGCACTGGGGGCAGGTCTGCCTTGGTGCTGTCTCAAACCACTGAACAAGGCTAGAATGTAAACCAGAACAACAGAGTGGTAAGCCCTGAAGTGGCTGGGGACCCCATTTCTCCTCAACACAAGAGAGTTATGGCACCTCCCACAAGGCCTCACTGGTATTCAGCCCCCAGATCAGAAACTGTTCTGCCAACCTTCTGGACTTTGACTGTATGGCAGGGTGGCAGTCAAAGCTCAGGGTCTCTCAGAGATGGGGACTCTGATTACAGCCTCACTTTAAGATAGGACCTCAAATACTACATTTTCAAGGTAAATAGTGGTAAAAACAGAACACAGCTGAGCTTTGAATCATCCATCAACACGGCCTAACAACAACTCAGTCCTTAAACTTTAAGTAGTCTCTGCCAGGCACGGTGGTGGTGCATAACTGTAATCCAAGCACTTTGGGAGGCTGAGTTAAAAACTCAGATCAGAGCCTGTGCAAATTAGTGACTTAGCAAGACTCTATCTCAAAATAAAAATTAAAAAAGGACTGGGAGTGTAGCTTAATGTGAAGGCCCTGGGTTCAATACCCAGCAATGCAAAAAATTAATTAATTGAATAAAAAATTTTAAAAAAGTAGTCTTCTTTGAAGACTACATCATGTGATAGTACCCTTAAGCTCAGTGTTCTAAAATCTCATAGAAAAAGTTTTTTTTTTTTTTTTGGTGGTGGTACCAGGGATCGTACTCGGGTCCTTGCGCTTGCGAGGCAGGCCAACGAACTGCTGAGCTAAATCCCTGGCCCAGAAAAAGTTTGATCTCCAGTACCCATCCCCCCCAAAAATATATAAAATAATAATCGTCATTATTATCATGGCTAACCAGGTGTAGTGGAAAACTACAAAACAAAGAGAATGTATAAGTCAACTAGGTACCTTATTATGAATCACAAAAACCTAACATTGGCCGGGCTTGGTGGCGCATGCCTGTAATCCCAGCACTCGGGAGGCTGAGGCAGGAGGAATATTGTGAGTTCGAGACCAGCCTGGACTACATAGTGAGTTCCAGATCAGTCTCAACTACATAGTGAGACCCTGTCTCAAAAACAAAAACAAAACAAAACAAAAAAAACCCCAAAAACCTAACATTGAGGAAGAGAAGTCAGACGTGAAAAAATTACATTCTGGTCTGGGGATTTAGCTCAGCGGTGCCACACCTGCCTTGCAAGCATAAGGTCCTGAGTTTGATCCCCCATACTACACATACAAAAAAGTCAACAAGTGGATTTAACAGTAATTTACTAGACTTGATCTTAGCCAAAGGCTGAGAAGTGATTAACAGTAGTTTAAACACAGCTGAAGAATTGTAAATTCAAAGGCAAGTCCAAGGAAACATTTGATAAGAGATATAGAAATAATCTGAGTGGGCCAGGGATTTAGTTCAATGGTGCTGCTGCCTGCCTCGCAAGCACAAGATCCCAAGTTTGATCCCTGGTACCAAAATAATAGTAATAATAATAGTAGTAGTAGTAGTAGTAGTAGTAGTAGTAGTAGTAGTAATCTGAGCAAGTCTAACACAAGTACAGATGGGAATTCTGGAAAGAAAATTATAGGTAGAATAATGCTACTACCATCACCAAAAAGTGCACATCCTAATATCTAAAACCTGTGAATATGCCGTATTACGTGGAATTTTGTGATGAGTTTTTTGTTGTTGCTGTTTAATTTTTGTGTTTATTTCTATGTTTTTGTTATTCTTTTTTTAAATTTTGGTACTGGGGATTGAACTCAGGACCTTGCGCTTGTGAACTGTGCTTGTGAGACAGGCGATGGCACCACTGAGCTAAATCCCTGACCCCTATTTTTGTTATTCTTTTGCAGTGCGAAGATTGAACCCAGGGCTTCCAGCATAACAAACATGTGCTTTACCAAAGAACTATACTCCAACACTGAGATGGAGAGATTATCACAAGGGTCCTTATGAGACAGGGCTAGGCACAAAGGGTGTGCACCTGTAATCCCAGAATGCTGGGAGGCTGAAGCAGGAGGATCACAAGTTTGAGTCCAGACTGGGCAATTTAGTGTGATCCTGTCAAAAATCAAAAAGATCTGGAGATGTAGCTTAGTGTGAAGGCCCTGGTTTCAATACCCAGTACCAAAAAAAAAAAAAAAAAAAAAAAAAAAAAAAAAAATCCCAAAAAACAAAAGAGACAGACAGGAGTGTCAGTCAGAAAGAGACCATGAGCCAAGGAAGGAAATTAAACAACATATTCTTAAACAACCAATGAGTCAAAAAAAAAAAAAATCACAAAGGAAATTTAAAAATACCTTGAGATGAATGAAACAATATACAACATACCAGGAGTTAGGAGATACAGTAAAAGAAGGGGTAGGAGAGAAACTAGTAATTATAAATGCATACAATAAAAGACATCCATTGGGATGGCTATTATTTAAAAAAAAAAAAAAAAAAGATGGGCACAGTGGCACATGCCTGTAATTCCAGCACTTGGGAAACGGAAGCAAAAAGATCATGAGCCCCAGGCCAACCTGGGCTACAGAGTAAGACCCTGTCTTTAAAAAAGAAAAAGAAAGAAAAAAAGTTGGTGAGGTATGGAGAAATCAGAATCCACATACACTGCTGGTATATATACAAAATGACATACCCACTGGGGAAAAGAGTATGGCAGTTCCTGAAAAAGTTAAACATAGAATACCATATGAGCCATCAATTCCACCTAAAAGAACTGAAAACAGATACTTAAAAAAAAAAAAGAAAACAAAAACTCAAATAGATATTTGTACACCAACATTCATAGCATTATTCACAATAGCCAAATGTGTCAACAGACAAATGGGCAAACAAAATGTGATATACACATACAATGGAATATTGCTCAACCTTAAAAAGAAATAAAATTCTGCTACATGTGGTAGAGTATACCTATAATCTCAGCTACTTGGGAGGCTGAAATGTGAGTGTCACAGTTTGAAGCCAGCCTAAGTACCTTAGTGAGACCCCTGAAAATGTAAAAAGGGGTGGAATGTAGCTCAGTGGTAGAGCAAGCACAAGATCCTGGACTCATCCACAGTACTGAAAAAATAATTCTGACACATGCTACAAGTAATATGAATGAACATTATGCTAATAAACTACACAAAATTATGAAATAAACCTACCACAAAAGGACAAATATTGTATGATTCTACTTGTATGAGGTACTTAGAGCAGTCAAATTCATAAAAATGGAAAAGTAAAATGGTGTTTATCAGAGCTTTGGGGCAAGGGACAATTGGGAGTTATATTTAAGGGGTACTGCATTTCAATTTGGTAAAATAATGGTGATAATTGCACAACAATGTGAACTTATGTAATGCCTCTGAATTGCATATGGAATAATTATAAAAATGGCAATGTTTATGATTTGCATATTTTGCAACCATTAAAAAAAATAGTGAGATGTCATGTCATACCCACTGGGATAGCTATGAGGCTAGGGGCTTGCTTCAGTGGTAGAGTGCTTGCCAGTCATGTGACAGAGTCCCTGGGTTTGGTTCCCAGAATTGAAAAACAAAAAACAGGAAAAATTATAAGCATTATCAAAGATGTAAAGAAATTAGAACACTCATGTACTTTTTTGTTGGAAATTTTAAATGATGCATAAACCGGGGGTATAGCTCAGTGGTACAGCCCATGCTAAACATGCTTGAAAGCCTAGACGTGATCCCTAGCATAAAAAAAGAAATCGATTAATTTAAGACCAGCCTGAGCAACATAGTGAGACCTATATTAAAAGCAAGCTAGCAAGTCAGCCAGCGAGCAAGCCAGCCAGCCAACCTGTAATTCTAGCACTGAGGAAGCTGAGGCAGGAGAAGCGCAAGTTCATGTTCACCTGGGCAATTTATTAAAACCCTGTCACAAAAAAATAAAAAAATACAAGCAGCTGGAGATGGAGCTCAGTGGTAGAGCACTCCTGGGTTCGATTCCCTGCAATGGTGGGGGGGGCGCTGTGGAAAATAGTATGGCAATTCTTCAAAAAGCTAAGCATAAGGGCAGGGATGTAGCTCATTGCTGCAGTGCCTGCCTGGCAAGTGCAAGGTCCTGACTTCGATCCCCAGTACCCTCCCCACTACACACAAAAAAAGCTAAGCATAGAATTACCATATGTTCTAGCTTTTTCACACCCAAGTATATTTCCAAAATAATTGAAAAACAGGAGCTCAAATAGATGCATGTACAACAGTGTTCATAGTAGCACTATTCACAGTAGTCAAAATGTGGAAACAACTCAAGATCTGTCAACAAATGAACAGTTTAAACAAAGTTTTCCAAGCAAGAGGCAACAACCAGGCATTGCCCTTTGTGAGTTTTTCACAAGTTCCCTGTAATTATTCCCACCATTCTCAGTGGTTCCTCTGCCTTACATCTTTTGCTGGGAGCTCTAAATTAGCCTGTCCACAATTACTAGGAGAATCTTTCCCCACTAACTGAACACTCAACAAAACATCTCCTTACCTTTCCAACAAATCTCGGTTTGCTGGGTAGTGAAAAGCATTGGAGTGCCTGGCCAATAAGATGATTCTGGATAGAATCAATCCAAACCGCCAGGCAAACCACAATAAATCCCAGAAGTTACCAGGGGTTTTGTTTGCTTATTTGTTTTGTTTCTTTTCAGACAAGGTCTCAGTACGTAGTTGAGTTTGGCCTTGAACTCACTATGTAGCCCAGGCTGGTCTCAAACTCGCCCCGACCCTCCCAGTCTCAATTTTCCAGGTCCCAGGATTACAGGCGTGAACCACCACGCTAAGAAGCTACCACTAGGTTTCTATCTTTAAGAAATAAAAAGGTTTGTTAATATAATGAAAATTCATCTCTGCCTAGGCTAATAGTTTTGAAGTCACAGCCCTACACAGGTAATCAAAGCACCTATTTTCTTCACAAGACCGATTTTGTCTCCCGCTCCGTTGTCGGTCCCACCCCCGCCCTTCTCATAGCTCCGCTATCACTTCCGCCCGACCCACTTAAACCCAAGTGAGGAAGGTCCCGTGGGGTTCTGCCTAATGAGGTTCTCATCACCTGTCTGGGCTGTAAAGATGGACTACCTGCCGGCTTGACACCCTCCTTGACCGCCCTCCGCCACTCCACAGTACCAGGGAGGAACGCCTGGCCCCTACGCCACGGTCACTCACCACTGCAGATGGAAAGTGTGGCCACAATGAATGGCGGCCACATCTCGGGAGTGGTCAAATAAGTCAGAACAAATAGTGCACAGGGCACGGATAGGCATGATGGAAGGACGCCAGTGGCCCAGGTAACTAAGAAAACCACTACAGGTCCAAATACGTGGCCGCGCTCCCGCCTCTCGGAAGGTTTCAAATTTAGCTCCACCGAGCGACTTCCGGGAGGGGCCGGAAATGACGACTCCGAATCGGTGGGGAAACATTTACTTCTAGCCCTGATTGGACAAATCCTCAGGGGGCGGGGCCTAGTGGCCCACAGTCTGTAGAGGATGCTGGGACAGTGTTGTAGCTGTCAAGCGTCTCTAGAGGACTGGAGCCGCTCCGTTGGCTTGAGGTGGAAAGCACGACGCTGCCAGCTGGACCTTTCTGGGCAAAGCCAGGCGTTATAGTCCCAAGCTATAGCTGCCACGAAGTGGGCGGAGCCTGGGCTCCACACCTCTTCTTTCTGCGCTTCAGGACAGTCAAGACTGCAGCCGCAAGGGAATGGGGATGATGGTCCCGATGGGCCCCCCAGGGCTCTGGGCAGAGCTGGACCGAGTGCTGGCACCTCGTAGTTCCCCAAATAATATAAAGCCCCATGCTGTCAGCCTTCGGTTACAGGTAATCTTGGCAAGACGGACACATGGGTCCCAACTCAGAACACCCTTATGTTACCCTTGGTTTTATTCAAGTAAGACATAATACCCAGGTTTGGAGTTACTAGTGTCAGTACCCCAATTTAGACCTCCCAGGATTCATCATGCCTGGAACTGTAGTAAGGTTGCAATTTTGGAGACAAGAGATACTTCAAGGACCAGGGACTAACCCTTTTTATTATTCCCACATCAGAGAAGTTATCTTTGAGGTCCTCCCTGAGAAAACAGTAACCCTGGTGAGTTCTTTGAGGCCCATCTGATAAATAAATAGCTCTTCATGCTATTTTTTTGCAATATGACTCCCTCTGCCCAGAAATCTTATGCAGAACCCCATATTATAAAGCTGATCTGCTCCAGCAGAAGACAGAGCAAAATCTTTTGGGCATATATAGAAAGCGCAGGTATTCACAGGAAGTAGGAATCAACACACAGCACAGAACTTCTGTGAAATGCCCAACCTACACTCCTCCCAGCTCTATTTTGGACATAAGCAAACTCTGTCCCTGTGGTGGTTGGCCGTGAGTGGGTTCCAGTTCTATCCCCAAATTAAGACAAAGGCTCCTTCGTCAACAGAGTTGGAACAGCAACTCCTACTTAAACTCTCAACCCAGGGGTTATCCCTTGGTTCAAATCTAACCCAGGACTCACCACCCACATGGATTTGCAGAGTCCAAGGGATCCCCACAACCACCTTGAAGGAATATGCTGGTGAGTGACCTTCACTTTCAGCCCCAAAAATCCACTGAGCATCAGTCACTACCTTTGAACCTTATCTGACTCTCCCCTCCCATTGCCTTCTAGGGACTCCTCCTCGGTAGGACAGAGGAAGCAAAGGCAAGAGGGTGGCCAGAGGCTTTGCAGGGTGACGTTTATTTGCCAGATTCAGCAGGCACATAGTCAGCCCACCAACCTTCACATACCAGAGCAGACCTATAGGCATGCATGGAGAAGGGCAGGACCACCACAGAATGCCAAGCAAGGGCAAGGACCATTGTGGCTGCCTGTCCAGGCTGTGGTATGGTCTGCCAAAGGGCATCTGTCAGGAGCCTCCTCAAGGAACTAGCGTCTTATTCCACTTCCTCATCTTGGCAAAAGCAACTTACATGGCTTAGAGGCACACAGACCTCTGATCAAAGTAAGCAGTAAAAACAGAGGATCATCCTCTCCATGTTGATGAACTGAAAGCAGAAAATCTGCCACAGTGAAGGGCACCCCCACATGCAGCAGGACACCTAGGATAGAGGACTTATGGGTCAAGCCTCTACAGGATGGGCATATAAGAAGAGCATGGGGATATCAGCCAACTCTCCCTGTTTGGCCCACAGCAAGGACTAGCTAAGCTGGACAACCAGGTACTGAGGTACTGGATTGTACTCTGTTATCCCATGTCTCATTGCTTTTTTTTTTTTTTTTTTTTTTTTTTTTTTTTTTACCGGGGATTGATCTCAGGAACCACTGAGCTAAATCCCTGACCCTCACTGCCAATTCTTAATTGCTCTTCCTTTCCATTAAAAGCTCATGAGAGGGCAATCCATGGCAGGGTCTTAGGAGGGCCTTCCCAGGGACAAATGTGGAATCTTCCACCCTCCTATTCATTCTTTCCTACTTCTGAGGACCCCCACAGCTAGCATGCAGTGCCCCTAGCCATGTGACCAGTCTTGATGTAAAGCACAGTGCCCTAGATTTCTACATCCTCTATATTGGCCAGTATCTACTCCTAGAGCAGCCCACACATTACAGGTACACACCTTCAAGTTCAGGAGCCTATGACCACTGACAGGGCCTCGCTGGAAGACCAGCTCTCAGGGCAAGGCCATCCAATTTAGGGACTGGGAAAATATGGGACTTGCAGGGCCTGCCTGGGGGAATGATGAGGCAGGAAGGGAAGGAGAAAAGCAGGGACCCCCTGAGTATCCCTAGAGCAGCATTCAATAAGGAACAGAAAAACTAGAGAAGCTGGCAAAAGACAAAAAAGCCACAAGGAATCCATGCAGGGGCTGGGGCTGACCCTTCCTCTGGCCAACCCACCACTCATACACATACATACAGGAGATAAGATTGCTCTCCTGTGACCCCCCAGGCATGCCCCACTGGGATAGGGGGCTTGGGGGAGCAAGGGCATCATTCCAGCAACTCTATGTACAGTGAGAATCCCCTCATCCACTTTCCCACCCTCCTGTGAGTCCCCCAACCCCCAACCAGGTTGCCCATTCAGCTAGTCTCCTCCTTCTGAGACTCCTGGATATAGCCAGCAGCCTCTTCCCCTTTACTAGAGGGTGGAACCTGGCCTGTGGTGCCATCTAGGGCTGTGCTGTCTGGCTGAGCCATAGCTGGTTCAGGGGTGGTAGCTGCCTTGGCAGCAGGTGTGGCACTGCTTTGAGTGGTGGGCACCGTGCTTTCTTCTGTGGCTGGTGTGGCTCTCCCATCAGTGGCTGGAGTAGCGCTCCTGTCAGTGGCTGGGGTGATGCTGCCATCAGTGGCCGGGGTGACACTACCATCAGTGGCTGGAGTGGTGCTGCCATCTGTGGCCGGGGTGGAACTACGGTCTGCAGAAGCCACATTATCACTCTTGGCAGCACATGCGGCATCTCCCGCTGTGGCTGCAGCAGCACTGCCCCCTGAGGCTGGAACAGCTCCACTAGCAGCTGTGGCCCCACCTGCAGCCCCGGGGGTGGTAGACTCTGTGGCTGAGGCAGACTGAGAGGCAGCTGTGCCAGACTGCTCTGGTGCCCGGAGCCGTTTCATGAGGGTGGTCACTCGGACAGCTTTCTGAAAGGATGACAGTGGAAAAAGGCTCAGGATGAGGACTGCTGGATCCATTTCTTGCCAATAGCCAAATCTAGCCCCTTTCATGGTATTGAAGCTGCCTCTGACCACCCATTAATCAGTACTCCTGCTTAGGGTAACGACAGCAGCTACAGCCACACCTGGTGACCTATGAAAAGCTCGTGTATAGCCACAGGGGTGTGGTACCAGTTGTAAGTACCAGAAGGAGCACTTGTGAAACAGTCACCAAATCTTACCTTCCACTTGGCCCTGGCAAAGTTCTTTTCAATCTGGGCACAAACACCATCCTTGATGTTCTTATCAGAAGCAGCATTGCCAGAAATCCTGAGAAGGGTACAAGTACATCTGGATGAGGAATATGGGTCTTCATGGAGACTCTGTCCTGCCTACCCCTATGGAATCCAGGACTACACCATACAGGGCCTCTGGGCTGGCCTGTGTTCTAAGTGCCCCCACCCACTCAAGGACTCAAGGATAGGGGCTCCTAGATGTAAGTGGTACAGAGGTCCTTTCATCCTCCCCTGGTCCTTGCTCACCATTCATGGGAGATGGCCTCTTCTGCAGTGATCCGCTGGTCTTGCTCTACCTCCATCAACCTTGTGACCAAGTCTTTGGCTGGGGATAAAGCCAGGGAGAGGCTAGGCATGGCACCCACCTCATTGTCTAGAGGTGATTAATGGGCTGGGAGCAGGAGCAGAATATAGCAGAAGCTGAGAGCAGTTTCTCCTTTCCTACTACCCTATGTTCTACCCATGTGCTGGGCACCTCCTCACCTGCCTGAGAAATATCATCCCAGTATGGAGAGTCAAACTCATAGTCGCCAGCCAGGATCTTGCGGAAGAGATTCTTATCATGGTTCTCATAGTCATCTTCTTCCACCTCCTCATAGAAGGGTGGGTTGCCTGAAAGCCTGCATTGGGGCAGGGTCATCCAGGATGGCCACCAGCACGGGCCCCCACCCCAGCCTGGCTGCACATCTACTTTTGTACCCATTCACTCACAGAATGTACATGATGACGCCAATAGCCCAGCAGTCCACAGGACGTCCATACCGTTGCCGTCCTACCACTTCTGGGGCTGCAAACACAGTGTCCACCCACTGGTCAGTTTCAGGCCTGGCCAGGTCGAGTACCATCCACACCCACTTCCTGGGACGGGGACTTCCTCCTACCCTAAGATGATCCCGATGTCTGCCCCACCCCACCCCTATCCCATCCCTGCTTGCCCAGATACTCAGGGGTCCCGCAAGGCTCCTTGATGAGGCCATTTTCTAGCTTAGCCAAATGGAAGTCGCTGATGACAATCTTCGAGTTCTTCAGCCTATTGTAGTAAACCAGGTTCTCTAGCTGCTCCAGCCAGGAATGCATGTAGGTGAGCAGAAGAAGACACCATGAGGGCCTCAGAGGCTGGATCAAGGCCTCAAGGTTCTTCCCACTCCAGCCCCAGCCAGCTGCTAATTGACCCAGTGACCCCGGCCCTGGCCTCACCTTCAGGTTCCTGTGTACAATCTTGAGTGAGTGCAAGTAGGCCACAGCCTCCAGGACCTGCCGCACCACGTTGCTCGTGTCTCGCTCCGAGTAGTAGCCCTGGTCCAGGATCCAGTCAAACACCTCCCTCCCCGTGGCCCTGAGGGACACCAGCCCCTGAGCCCGGTGTGGGAAGGATCAGGTCGGGCAGGAGCATTTGGGAGGGCTTCCTGCACCAGGCAGCTGGCTGGGCAAGGCACAGGGACTTGGGACCCCCTAGGATCCAGAAAGGGGACTTTCTTCAGGTGCAGAGGATAGGACAGGTAAAAGCCTGGGGACTGGGAATCCTGGGACCCCAGACCCTCACTCACAGCTCCAGGAAGATGAAGTACTCCTTGCGGGTTACAAACACATCCACCAGTTGCAAGATATTGGGATGCTTCACCCTGTGACAAGGAGTAGAGCCAGGGGTTAGAGCTGAGTGAGTGGCAAGTGAGTAGCAGTGACAGACCCTGTCACAAGAGACTGGTGCTGCCTGAGACTACCTGCTCTCCAAGACTCTCCATATCCCCATTTCACCCTTCCCTGGGGCCTCAGACTCACATCTTGAGGATGCCAATCTCATTCTTGGCTGCCTTCCGCACCTTTCGGCCATCCCGCTTCTGAAACTTCTTGCAGGTATGCAGCTTGCCAGTGGTCTTGTCCTTGGCACGGAAGATTTCACAGAACTCCTCCCTGCAGCCGCAGATATGCTGGTCAGCCTTGGCCTCGGCATGGGGAATGCTCCATGCCCCCTTCCCAGCCAGCCCTTGCCCACCACCCATCTTGCCCAATAGGCCCAGCACTTACGTCTTAATGACCTGTCCCAAATCATATCTATCTGTCACCTCTGATGGCTGGTTATAGTTCTTCTTGTCACCCAGAGTCACACACCCAAACGGCATTGCCAGGCTCTAAGCTGTGGGCAAGATGGAGTCTGGCTCAGCACACTTTAAGACTCCCCACATCATATCTGCCTCAGGCTACACCAGAACAGAGACAGCATCATCTAAAGGGTAGAAAGGCCATGTGACCTTACCCTGCTTTTCTGGTCATATGTCCAGTCACTCAGTGTGGCTCCCTGAACTACAGTAGCACCCTCTGGGGAAAAATATGTTAAGCTGATATATCAAGAAATATGAATGATATACATTTTAAAAGATTTATCGAACAATTTATTTAAATTTCGGATGTTTTATAAATGAAAGGTCTATAATCATCTAGCCATCAGATGCTCATCTCTGAAGATGTGGACAATACAAGCACTTCTGGTAGAGGGCAACTCTTCCCTTTGAAAAATAGTTTGGTCAAAGGGCCGGGGATTTAGCTCAATGGTTCTGGCACCTGCCTCACAAGCGCAAGGACCTGAGTTCGAACCCCAGTACCAAATAAACAACAACAACAACAAAAAAAAAACTCCTGGACTAAACATTCTCTAATATCCTTAGAATTCGGTGAATAAATGGGTACGACAAACATACAAACATCTGAGGCTATCCTATGTGGTAGGCAGTGTATATATATAATTCATTGATACTTGTGGATAAAATGTGTGTTACTGGGAAGTGGTACAGATGAGGTCTGACCATGAGGGTTTTTTTATTGATGTTTGCCACACATAATAATTAATGTGTTTTGAGAAAGAAGTAATATATACACACATACATTTGTGCCTTAGGACAATTATAGAAGAATGCTCATGATGGCCATATTCATAATTGCCAAAAACTGGAAACAGCCCAAATATCCACCATCAGCAGGATGTATTGTGCTGTAGTCACACAATGGAATATTATACTGCAATGAAAATGAAGGAGCTATAGCTATACCCAAATGGATGATGAATCTTACAGAGTTGAGGGGTGAAAAACACAAAAGAATACATATAGTATGATCCTTTTTGAATAGAACTCAAAATCAGGCAGCATTCACCTATATATACTGTTTAGGATATAAACACTGAAGTAACACTCTAAAGAAAAGCTAGGGAGCTGGGTGTGGTGGCTGGCACATGCCTGTAACTGCAGCACTAGATGAGCTGAGGTAGAATGATAGCCACAAGTTTAAGGCCAGCCTGGAATACATAGTGAGCTCAAGGCTGACCTGTACTACCCTATTTCAAAAAAGTAAAAAAAAAAGTTAAAAAGCTAAGGAATAAGCACCAGGAGTCAGATAATGAATTGATCCTACTAAGACAAAGGAGGGGTGGACACATGGCAGGTCTTCTGGAGGGTCTTTTTTTTTGAGACAGAGTCTTGCTATGTAGCCCAGGATGGCCTCCAACTTCCAAGTGCTGGGATTACAGGCGTATATTACCACAATCAGCTTAGAGGATCTGTTTCTGATCTCAGTGATAGTTACACAAATTTGTGGTTTTTAATAATTTATAAAAATATACACATAACTTTTGTGGACATTCCTAGATTTTTAGTGTACTTAACAATAAAAAAGTCAATAAAAACTAGGGCCACTCATACTAAAGCACACTTGGTATCTGTTATGAAAAATCAAGTGTGCTACTATAAGATAGATGTTCAGTGAAAAAGCAAGGGACAGAATGGTGGGTAAAGGGTGCTGCTATTCCGGTAAATTTTTTAAAGTTCATATCTTGATGTGTGCCCACAAACTCCTTTTTTCTTCTTTTGATGGTACCCAGAGCTTTCACACTGAACTATACCCTTTAATTTTTTTTTTTTTTTGTACATTTTGAAACAGTCTCACTAAGTCACTAAGTTGCCCAGGCTGGGCTGGAGCTTGTGAGCTCCTGCCTCAGTCTCCCAACAGTGGTGGGATTACAAGTGTGAGTACCACACCCATCTGGCTTCACAAACTCTTTTCTGGAAGGACATAAAAGGAAGTAAGAATTCTCTTTGAGACAAAGACTTGGATGTCAAAGGGGCAGATTCATACCTTTTATTTATTAATTTTTGTTAGAAATTTTACTATGTTGACATTGGTTTATTTAGTAAGTATTTTTGGTCCAGCACCAGGCTGGGGGGCAGATTTCTCTAAGGAAGAAGGGCCATTTGGGTGGCAAAGCAGCATTTGGCCTGGGTCTTGAGAAGGATTAGCCAGAAGGTATATAGGGGTGACAGTCAGCAAGAGCAAGCAAGCCTGACTAACAAACACCTCACTGGAGGAGCTCACAAAGAACCTGTATGTCAGGTCCAGGTGCAAAGCCCTAGCCAGATACAGCTGGCTCAGTGGGCTCTGGGCACTCTTTGCATCTGGGGCATGGTGCCCCCTAGGTCTGCAATCCTGCCAGTTACAGCCCAATACTTATCTATAGTGCTGGGCAGCTACTCTAGCACCCAAAACAAAAAGCATTCCCAGCCTTTGTTCAGAGGTAGGGGAGCTGGTGGCTGTGTATGGACCTTTACAGACCTGGGCAATTCTGCCTCCATAATACCTGGTCAGAGGGAGTCTGGGCTACAGCAAGCTGCTCTGTCTCTAGGGACTGCATGTGTTCCCTCCATTCCAACCAGCACCTGCTCTATGAAGAGGCTGGGCTGGGGCCTTGAGTACCTAGATGTTCCCCTGCCTGAGGGTACTCATAGTCTCAGGGTAGTGGAGAAGGAGAAGGTATCCTCTCAGAAGGCAGCTTGGCAAGAAGGACTATGCCAGCAGGGGTCAAAGACCAGGACCCAGACTTGCACCATGGCCAGTCCTGGCTGCTAGTCACTTCCTCTCAGACACAGGCTAGCTACCCAGTCCCCAGGGATCACAGCCCTGTTAGTCCTCTCCGTGTGCCCTCTGACTTAGTAAACAAATTTCATCCCTCTTTAAGGGTTGCCTGGGCTCAGGGAATACAAATGCATTTCATCATTGTGATTAAAGTTAGGGCTTAAACTATCTAGTGAGGCACCTCAAACAGTTGAAAGAAGCTTTGAAGATCATTGCCAATTGCATGTCTTTGCCACCATGGTCACAGCCCCACTCCTGCATCTGCTGGGGAAGAGCATGTGGCTAGAATCCCATCCTCACACCTAAGAGCAGAGGCACAGTCACCCACCACTGCTGGCCACCCATCTCCATGCTGTGACATCTAGGAGAAGAGGACTGCATCAGGCCTTATGCATCAGGCCTCATGACGGGCAGCAGATGACCTCCCAGGCTGAATCTGGGGACCATGGACTGGGCAGGAAAGTAGTTCCCTAGCCTGCAGGTCTCCCAGCTCAGTCGCTGTGCTAACACCATTCTCTCTGACACAAATGCCCTTCCCCCAAAACCTATCAGAATCCTATTTGTCACAGCAGTTATTTATAACATTAAAAAAAAAACAAAAAACTAGCAACTACTTAAATGTCTGACAACAGGTGACTTTTCAGCTCTGCGTCCACTTAGTAGCAGAAAGTATGGGCCCTGGCAAGGGTGCTACCCACCTTGGCTTCCCTGTGGAGCAGCCTCCAAACAAGCTGAGATGCTAAGACCTGGGCTGAATCTCTTTTCATTGTGATTTCTGATATTATAAGATTGTCTGTGAAACAATTTGTCTAAAACAATCCTGTTGCTTCAAGGCCAGATGCAAAATGGCCTTTCTCTGAGACACCTTCCCCACCCTCAGCCCCATTCCAATAGCTCCCAGTTTCGTCAGCATGGTGTGGGTGGGAGGTTTTGTGTATGCCTGTCCCTGATCCTGGACCCAGGTTTTGGCTCTGCATATGCACTCATGCCCACAGCAGTCCAGGGCTGCTCCTGGAGTCTGTCTCCGCAATGGAAAGTCTATAATATGGTCATCCTGGAGCCATGTCCTGCAGGCCTCAATGCCAGAACAGGGACTGATCTGCCTCTCCTACCTACTAGTATGGCTGCCCCATCTCAGCTAATTACTACCTGTCCTCACTTGTGCCTCTAGATCTAGCTCCAGAGTGAAGAGGGGAGAAAAGAGGGTCATGCTTCATTAGCACCTTTGTCCCCTCCACCTCCATCCATTCCATCACCTGCTACCCCTGGGAAGGTGTAGGTTGTAAAAATCCAAGTTCTTAGCACGGTCTGCAACACAAGCGGCCTTGGGCCCAAAGCTGAAGAAACAGCCTAAGGCATAACACTAAGAATGGTGTTGGCTGGGCAGAAAGGCTTTGCATTTCTTATCCTCATACCCCAGACCCAACACCCAATAGAGAGCTCTCCTCCCAGCTACATGGGATTTGCACTCTACCACAGATCAGGTCCACACTGACTCCTGGAGAGCACAGGACCCTCAAAGCACCACTTCCCTGGAGATTTGGCTCTCACCCATCACTGCACAGGAAATAAACAGCATGAATCTGGGGCCACTGCAGGCGATGTTGGGAAGAGCACAGAGCCTGGCCTTTCAACTGCCCTCCAGTTGGCTCTCAGGGAGCTGAAGGGCCAAGCACTCCCCAGTTACTGCCTGCTCCTGAGGCTTGACCACTGGGCTCAGTGATTGGAGCCTCAGGCCTTTCGTGTCCTTGTAATCAGGGGTCCTCTAGGGATTCTACTACACCTTAGTCAGGCCTGACTCTGAGGAAGCCCAAGCGAAACAGAGGTCAAGAGGTCTGACATGCTTATGTCCTCCACTGGGGCCATGCTGGTTCAGGCCACATCTTTCATAGCTGGTTCAGGCCACATCCTTCATAGCCATAAACAAGAGCTTTTTTGATGCCCTGGTTCCCTGACATGTGGGGCTCTAGAGCATGCAGTAAATCTATGGAGGTTAGGAGGGGCCCAGGAGGCCTTCAGCTGCCTTCAACCACTGTTGCCAACACCTCCCAATTTAGTGGCAGCTGTGAACACCAGCCTGCTGGCAGCCCATCCCTTCGCCTGCTCTCTTCTCTCTGGGACAAGGGCTAAGTCTCCTGCTGAAATGGACATACTGGGTCCAATCCCTGCCTAGCTCACATCTGAGGCCTCAGCCATAGCATCTAGGGAGGAAGAGACCATCCTCACAGAGTCTGGTATCAGGAGATATTCAAGGGTCCAGCTCACTGTCCATTTGCTTCAGGAGACTGGAAAGGGGGCTACCCTGGCAGGCCACCAGATAAACCATGGCCAACAGTTCATAGGGCTGACTCCTCTCACATCATGGGAGAATATGAAGGAGAGGTATTTCCCAGCTTTGGAGGTTGGTACAAAGTCCAGCACTACCTCCAGAAAGTTCAGCCCTCAACAAGAAGGCAGAGCCAAGAGGCAATGGCCCCTCCATTCAGAACCTGGGGTCCTAATCTTTAAACCCCTAAAGGAGAATTCACTAGAGGCCCTGCTTCCCTTTGGAGGAGGGGAACTGCAGAAGGCACTAGAGTAAAGGGTTGCTATGGTGATGGAAGTTTTAAAACAAGAGGAGGAGGAAGGGAGATGTGTTAGCAAGGTGCCTTATTTAAGAATTCCATAACACTCTGGCCTGGCTCCTTCCCTATGGGTTCTGTGACCCTGGTCCCTATCAAAGAAGAGAAGGTGGGGGCACTGAGAGACTCTAGAAAAGAGAGACAGACAGAGACAAAGGCAGAGTTTGTGATGGAAAAAGCGCAAGGAGGAATAGAGTAAAAGGGACAGACACAAGGTGGAACAAAGGAAAGATAATATGGGGTTCTCAAGGGGCCTTGGGGTGCTCGGCAACACTTTAAGGGTACCATAGTCATATGCTCTGAATCCCTGGGCCGTGAGGTATCTAGACTTTTGAGACTGAACCCTCCTGTGTCCCCCAGATATACACTAAACTTGGTGTGGGAGGTATAGCAAAAAGAGGCCAGCTTCTTGGGGCCTCTTGATAGGGAAGAGGCCAGCTGTTGCAGTCCCCAATTCTCCCTGTCATTAGGGCAGCTTAGGTAAAAGAGATCCAACGTGTTGAAGGCAGAAGCATGGTGGGGGTGGAAATGAGGCTCAGAGACCAGCCTGTTTCCCCTTACAATCCCGCCCTCTCAACTGGCCCAGCTGTACCTAGGCCCCCCAGTCAAAGCCAGTCCCTAACTGCTGCCTCCCCAGCTTCTCTTGCAGCTCAGCTTCATCCTGTCACCAACCACCCTGCAAGATCTTGTCAGGGGAGCCAGAAAAAAGCACCTGCATAACACCTCATGCCCCATGCCTCAGTTTCCCTGTACAGACATCACAGACTGTGGCCTTCTCCTGGGGCAGAGAACCGCCTGCCTGCCTTCCTATGTGTGAATAGTGGCCAGGGCATGGGGCTAGAGAGGAGCAGCAGAAGATTTGAGCAAAGCCAGCCTAAGGCACCTGGGGGTCCACACCAAATGGAAAAGGAAGACCCTTGCTCCACCTTGGAAACCAGTTTGACTCTGAGGGGAATGGAGACTAATTTGGCAGTTGAGGAAACAGGTCCAGAAATCACTGGAGCTGAGAAACAACTGAGGGGAAGGGGAAACACCAGATCTCAAGATGGTCCTGGGGGGCTGAAAGCCTGGGCCTGGGGGTAAGGTGCATGGACTACACTAGGCTGGTACAGATTCTGAGCTTCTGGCAAAGGGCAGAGGCCACTGCTCCCTAGGAAGGGAGTTGGTGGTGCAGGCACTGCCTACCAGGGCACAGACAAAAGCAGTTGGCAGATGGGGGGGCTGTGGCTTAAGAGCCCAGGGTCTCTGCCAGACGTTAACACCTGGAGAAGCAGAAATTCGGCTTCTACTGTATCCCTTCCCCCACCCGCCAGGAGCCCCAGCCCCACCGTGGTGCTGAACCCCTTCCCCAGTGGTGCTTGTTCGCCCCCGCGGGCACAGAAACACACATGCGGGAGGCACACGTGTGAGCGCCAAGCCCCGCACCTCCCAGAAAGAACGGGAGCGCCCCACACCCGCGCTGCGCACGTGGGTCCGCGCCCAGGACCCCCTGCGGGCCCTCACAAGGTTCGGAACCTGGCACCTGGAGGAGGGGGAGCAGGTCTCTAGGGATTTTGGAGCCGCCGCCGCCTCTTCTTCCTCCTCTTCCTCCTCCTCTTTCTCCTCCTCCTCCACCCCCACCCCGCAGCAGCCCCGCCCAGCCCCCTCTGGGTTGTCGCCCATAAAGAACTCTTCGTTGTCATGGAAATTAGTGACTGTCAAGCAGAAGGGAGGGTGCCCGGGGGCAGCTGGGAGGGGCTGGTGGAGGCTTTGGAAGCCCGGAGGGACAGCTCAGCCCTCGGCCCCTACCCTCATGGGACACCTCCAATCTTCGAGGGTCAATGTTCCCACAATTTGGAGGCGCAGAGGTTTCCCCCGCGACCCCGGAGTCGTCCAAGGCCAAAGGAACTTTAGCTCGACCCTGCACGACACCCCCGTTTTGCAGAGCCCGCTCGCGGTGACCCCAAGGGGGCCAGAGTCTTCACGGTCCCCCGCGCACTCTGCACCCCCGGAACCTCAAGCTAGGGAGACAACCCCCCGGGACTCTACGTCCGTGCGGTAGGCACCCCTTGCCGGCCCAGCCCACCCTGTTTCGCACCTGCAGCGTTGGTCGGTCACTGGGAGGAGGCTGCCGCGGGCTCAGCAGGGCGCCGAGGGCTCCGGGGGCGGCGAGAGCAGAATCCGCTCCGG